GTGTTTTGTCTTTCCATCAATTAAAAAATATATTAATCGCATTTAGTGTTCTCTTTGTTCCCACTTTTTCAAGTAGCAATATAAAAGCCATTTCCAGCATTAATATAAATAAATTCCAAACAAATACGACAATAATAAACAACGAAGTTTTCGTTCCTAATTTCTTGTTTTTTAGAACTAATATAATTTATATATATAATTAAATACTACCAAGGATATATTATCACCACACAAACAGATATTCAGATGCAAATTTCATTTTATTTCTCAAATCCGACATTATTTTAGTCTTCTACTCAGGATTTACAAAAATTCTTTTACCTAAATATAAGATGTCAAATTCTTCAAGGTGAACTTCTGCAACTATGTCATAAATGATTTGTTCATTTATAGGAAACACTTTTAGAGATAATATAACAAAAACTGTGAAAGTATCGTAAGGTAACTACAACCATAAACTATAAATTCCATCCAAATTCAAGTCAAAATATAATGTTATCAGAAATAATATTCCTAAAAAATATATGAGTAAATCTATTAATTATTTTTATCATACGCCTGTAAATACCTAAATGACCACTATTAATAACTTATTAGAAGACACAAAAAAAAAATTATTAGCGAATATACATAGAGAGAGTTTGTCATTGAAAATGCACATACGAGAATGTTAATACCGATAACAGTAAGTTTTTTTTTTTAAATATTAGTAATGCGGTTTTAAATATTAGCAATCATTATAATCTGTTACATTAATAGCTTGTGTTAATTGGTGCGCGGATAAGAGCAAGATTGGTAATTAAATCTCACAACTAGTTACAGTTTTTTGGTACTTGAAGATTTTCTTTGTCCCTTAAACAACACCAAGAAAATGTCAAATATGTTAAATAATATTTAATTACTACTATACATACAAAACATAAACAGTAATCAGTTTATTAATTGCAGAAAAGACACAAAAGTAAAGAAGTCATACAATACAATATGATATTGAAAAAAAAAAAAAAAATACATTATGTATATTAATTTCTGATACCAAAAAAATCGAAAAGTCATTCCAACAAAGGACAAATCTTCTAACCAAAATTCTTTGGAAAATGGGTCAGATACCCAGTACAGTTCCAAGTTTACAACCTATATCGAGAATTTACTAATCCATAACAACCAAAAGATAACCTAATCTTTCAATCCAACACAAAACTCCTGACAATTTACTAATTTGTAACCAAAATTCTGCAGATGAAGAAACAGTCAGAGGTCGACCCTTTGACGGCAGAGTGGGCAGGTGTTTTTCGTCTTCAACCAGCTAAAGATGCATGACTCGTGAAAGATGTGGCGACACGGCATGTCAATCAGCTCCTTGGCCGAACCAAAACCGTCGAGACATATGGCACAAGGGCCTTCAATAGTGTCACAAGCGTCGGTACGATCAACCCTCCGTTCTGCTCTCAGTTTTTCAAGCAGGGAGGTGGATACCCCATCATTTGCAGAACTATCTCGGTTGCCACCACCATAATCAAACTCGGCCTGGCCTAGATCGCTCCTATAATAAGCGAGCACTTCCTCAAAATTATGGATTCTCTGTCCCGTGATCCCTTCATCAAAAATAACTTCAGTCCAGACAATCCGTGCGTTAAACGTGAAGTGGTTGGAGGAGCCGGCAACGGATATCCCTTGGAAAGAAAAGAGCATTTCGGTGGCCATTTGTTTGGCTAACTCACTACTGAGACCACTACCGAGACCGAAACTAGTGAGTTGGTTGAGAATGTGGTGGTGGGCTGTGGATTGCGAGCGCAGGTGTATTGGGAGATAGAAGACTGTACGAGAAGGTGGAAAGATTTCTTGTCGATTCAAGATGGTTTCCCTACCTTCAAGATGGCGGAATATCGCCTCATAAATGTGGGTTACTCGAAGTCTGACTGTCAAGTACTCGCGATCATCAGTTATTAGCGGCAACCTAGTTCCGTCGACATTCAGTGTCCTGAACTCCATGTTTCTTAAAAGAATAAAGAATGGAAAACAGAGAGAGAAAGAAGGAAACAGAGCGTCTAGATTGAGGAAGAAGACCAGAGAGAAAGATGAGCGGAGAGATTGTTAATTGCGTTCAGGGGTAGTAAATGTAATTTTATATATAGGAGAAATGGTTTCGATTTTTTTCCTTTTCGGATTCGGAAGTTGTAATTACAATCTTGTTTCCTTTTCCGATTTGGAGTTCTAATTTAGAAATTTTAGGGAAGATCCGCTCCTGATCTTCTCTGGTTTCCTCTTATATGGGGTGGGTTACGCGGGGAGCGGTAAAACTGACCGTCAGGTAGACTTGCGTTGTAAGTTTCTATTTTTTCAATTCTGTAATTAATTAATCTTCTAATTTATTTTATTTAATTTACGCGTTTTCAATGAAAAATGGTAAGTTTAGAAAATCCAAAGTTCTCCGAGGAAACAGAAAGAAAGTGGAATAGAAACGGAAAAGATAGAGGCAGATCTGAGATTGGAAGACATACTTTATACCTGTGGGAGATAAAAAGAAGAAGAAGAAGAAGATCAGTCACCTGGCGAGTTAGAAGAGAGAGGAAATGTTGAAGCTGGAAATAGAGAGGGACGGGGGGAGAAATGCATTTAGCTTCTAACTACTAAGAGTAACACAACATACTTCTAGAACTTTGTACATTACTGAAATTAAAAGAATATATAACCTTGATTTGGAATTTCATCAAAAAAAAGTCTTAAGTTTGATTGGGAGAAAAATGTAAATAACAAATGAACATTATGTAACACTAGGCATGTATATCAGCAAGATGAGCCACACACATATGAGCTACATGCTCATGATTGTACATTATTAATAAGCAAATCAACGATCATCAAGTTTATGCTGATATGTCCGATGGATACTCGAAGACTCTAAACTCTTTTCTTAACAATATGGAACCTGATATAAAATATTTCAACTTCGACGATCTTTTATTGTTCTTAACATATAATTCAATAAATTTATTATTATAATTCATCTCAATGATCTCTTAATTTCATTGACAATTATTAGCCGAGTAATAAAAGTCTACAACCATATTGCTTGGTTCAATGTCCCATAATAAGCTATAAATTCTATTTCTCTGGTGAGTGACTGCTTAATGGTCTTCCTCGATACAACTCCTTTAGCCAATATGAAAATATGGACTCAAGCGAATCTCTTGCCATCGAGGCAACCAACAAAGTTCTAATCAAAATATTCTAGGATTTCTAAATGACCAAATCTCCCATACGTGAGCATAAAATCATGCATAACCCAATTTGTTACCTTTCATTTATCTATTCCAAGGATGCTAAGATATCTCACAACACTCCAGCTATGTACATAATATTAGGACATGTACAAACTTAAGCATACACGAGACTCCCTACTGCAGATGTATAACTGATCCTTTTTATATTATTTTTTTTAATACATTTCTTGGACATTGAAGCAAATTGAATTTATCACCTTTAGCAATGATAATATCTCCTTATATAAAATTTTTCATGGCAAATCCATTGAACACTTTATCAATATAAGCCTTTTGTGACAGACCATATATAGGATGTGAACGAATATGATATATCTACATATCCAACACAAGAGATGTTTTTTTTAAGATCTTCCATTTTAAACTTATTTAAAAGAAATCATGTAATAAACATATTTACAATTAACAAGTATAATATCATCCATATATAACATCATAATAATAAACTTGCTCTCACTGATTTTGTGATAAATATTTTTGATCAACAATATATGTATTAAAATCATAAGAGGTAATCACTTGATAAAGTTTTCTCTTACTATTAAGGGGATGCTTGCTTTAAACCATAAATAATTTTTTTTTAAAAAATTTCTATAACAGATTAGATTCGAAATTCTTTAATTGTATCATTTATATTGTTTATTTAATATCACAACTGAGAAATAGTATTTAAACTTATATAATGTAACTCCAAATCATAATAAACTATAAAACCAATAATTATTCTAAAAAAGTCTTTTTTTTTTAAATTGAAAAAAAGATATCTTTATAATTAATACTTTCTTTTGAATGAAGCTTTTAAGGACTAGGTGTGCTTTATATCTTTTGACATTGTCTTTTGAATTCCATTTGATTTAAAATTTTATTTACAACCAATTGATTTTTCTCCTTAAAATAATTTGACAAGATCCCAGATGTCATTTTGCTCAAAAGATTTCATTATATCCATCATGGCATCAATCTATCTCTAGAAGTTTGCACTTTATTTAGCTTGGCGGATAGATATCGGATCATCTTTGAGTCTTATATCAACCTTGTGTTCTTAGTGATACAAGATATAATTATATGAAAACATTGATATTCTCTCCCTAGTGGATCTCCTTAATTAAGCTTATAGTTGAGGTTGTTGTCGTTCCTCTACAAGAATAAAAATCGATTCTTCAGTATGAGCAAGAGATAACTTAGAAGCTTCAGGATTATTTTGATTTGCATCTTGAACAATGTTAGATATAACTACTTGATAATTTTTAGATGCAACAGTAGGAATAGTAACATTTTCCTCCTCGAAGATAAAGTTATTGAGCTTAGCAACTCTCACTGATATCAGCTTCCCTGATTTTTGTTTGTTTTCTCTTATTGCACTCAATACAGATTTTGAAATATGAAAAATAAAGGGAGTTAAGAATTATGTCTGGCACAAGTCTTTTGATTATTTATTCAGAAATATGTCCGAAATGCTTGTGGTATAACATGGATGGATTCTCATCAAATAATTTGTGTTCTATACCATTATTACTTAGGATGCAAGAATTTACTAATATGTGAGTCATAAACATCCAGTTTATATAGATCATCAACGAAACAACTATTACTAATCACCCTTGAAAACTACAAAAGAAATGAAAAATTTCATTTGCAACTAAACAAAAATAACTAGATTTATTCAAACATGAAACAAAAATCAAATTTCATCGAAATAACAGTGCATAAGAAGTTTTATCCAATTATTAACTATGACCTGATTCTAATTGCAACCTAAATAGACTAGTCACCTCAACATAACTCTTTTTGCTCTTTTTATATATACGACTCTTTTAGCATCACTTGGTTTTTGGTTCTTTAGATGACCTTATATTTTCATACATATATAGCAATTACACATGAATCTATCCACTAAATGTAACATAGTTTTAGAGTCAAATTAACTTAAAAGAAGGCCGAGAAAATTGAGAAGGTCATCATTCTTAACAAACGATTCAACATACTTAGGACCATCAATCTTTACATAACCAACTTTCTTAAAAAACAACCAATTAGTGACATTATCTTTTTTCTTTTGTGCCTTAGGTTGTAAAGTCCCATTGCATGCAACTTTTTTTTTCTTTCCATTTTTTATCCGTTTTCCTTTTCTTGTTGGCGATACCATCAAATAAAGTGACTAAGTGAGTACTTTTAATTTTATCTTGCTTCAATCTCTCTTCATCTTGCACACGCTAAGCAATGAGCTCAGTAAGAGTCCATTTTTGCTTTTGTCTTTTGTAACTTATTTTAAAAGTACTAAATAATGCAAGAAGATAGAACAAGACCAAATATAATAGAATGTCCTTCGGTAACTCTAGCTTTAGTGTGTTTAGTCTTGCTGCAGGATTATACATTTCTGTAACATAGTCCCTTATGTTTTTATTACCTTCATATCATATTGAAATGAGCTTACTAAAAGTAGTACTCTGTCTCTTTTTGTTTGCTATATTCGAATTGGCTTGTTATTCGACTTAAGAGACTCTTATCATTTTCTTCCTCAATTATTTGACCTCTCACGGTATCCGTAATAGAGTTACATAATGATCATCAAACTTATACACTTACAAAGCTCCCATTTAGCACAAAGTGCCATTTTTACAACAATCTTGTGAGCAGTAGAGGTGGGAGGTTCTTTCATTCAAATTGAATAGTCTAGACCCATACACCTAATCATAATACACTGAAATGTATTTCAAGTTGGTAGATACAAACATAGCATTAACTGAATCCAAAACAAAACACCAAGCTCAAATTAATAAACATGTCATTTAATTATATGATAAATGCATACATACACACAAGACATAAGACAAAACAAAGTCGACCATTATAACAAAATTAAAAACAACCTTAAAATCTAAAACTTGAAAAAAGAATTAACAATTTGTAAAAAGTATTCTTAAAGAAAATAGTTTGTAAATTTTGATAATAAGTTCTGCCAACAATTGTTCAGTACCTTAACAATATCCCACATATTTCTATGTAAGAGGAAGGCAGAATCTTATGATCACATCTTTTTTGGGTGTTCGCTTGTGTATGTATTATGGACTATGACTTTTCATTGGGATTAAATTGGGCAATGGATGGTTCAGTAAGGGAAGAGATTTGAGCTTTAGAGGGATACTAGTGGAGGGAAGAAATATGTGTCTCTCATTTCTCTTGTTGTTAATGGACATAGTTCAACATACGTTATAATCTAATGAGGTATTTTGGACTTTGAGATTAAAGATTATGTTTAGTCTATATTTGAGACCTACTACAATAATCTAAAATGTTTAGATCATTATATATTAAGGTCCAAAATGATTTAATTAAATTTTTAGAGTGTAGTTCTATTAGAATTGATTAAGACTCATAATAAACTTAATTAGAATCAAGCATGACCTAAGCTTATTTCAAGCTTTTCACCCAATTATTTGTTTTGAAAACTAAATAGTCTCATTAATTATTTCAAGAATCACTTAGATACATTATTTATAAACCTTCCGTAGTGTAGTGATTCGAATTCCCATAATAGATTAAAGTATGTAACTCTTTAGATTTAATAGTTCAGCAAGCAATATAGATTTATCAATTCGAGTAAAATGAATCTCAACATGATTATATTGATGATCTAAAATAAACCTATAAACTATTATTGACATATCATAATATATAATAATTTCAAATTTTAAAATTAATCTTTAACTTGTTTACAGCAGTTCAACATGTATAAATATTTATTTCTTCTATTATATTTTTGAGTTACATGCTATTAGAATTTGACAATAGCAAAGCCGTAGGATCAATACTACTTTTGAAAAACATATTTATCATTATATAATGAATATGAGTTTTTATTATTATCAAAATATATTATCATACAATACTATTTTTTTTTTTAATTAAGATTCAATGAATTCAATCGCTACTCGTACGACTATAAATAGTCTAAACTATATTTAACAACTATTTTGATCGAGATATATATAAATAACTTTTCTTTTTAGTATTAAAGTATAGCAAAGGCTTGAATTGAATCAAAATTTCAATTCAAATTAAGGAGCATCTTGATATTAATATTGATATTCAAACAACTCATTTTCTTTTGTTGACTTTTTTATTTTTATCATACTAATTACTATTCAATCTTTCCCGAGCTTACCCCATCATACTAACTTTATTAGAAATTTTATAAACTCAATTCCTATTTGATACATTTATTTTTGCGCAGGTATTTTACAAGTAAGAAGTAACTATCTTATGTAAAATTGTGTATGAATCATGTCATAACTACAAGAGACTTTGTAAGTTATCTATGATGAAGTTTAGTTTGAAGAATAATTCTACACAACTATTAGTGTGTAAAGTATTATTTACACGTAAAAATTTTATGTAAGAGTCTATTTTTTGAGTCATTATTCTTATAACGAACAAATAATTGTTATATTGTCATTTATTAATATCTCGTAAAGAAATAGTATATTGTTTACTAATATTTTCATATCTAATTATGTCCATGTCATTTAATCCTATAACTATAGTTTTTATAAACTATATTTGTAGATAATAAATGTTATTGTTATGAACCTATCATTATCATATTTTCATTACAGTCTTTTGATATTTATTATTTAAATAAAATTTAAAATTCATATGTAAGCAATAAAATGATAAAATAAATAAAAAAAATTGTCTTTATTATTATCGAGAATAATAATTTATGAAATAAGATAGTTAGAACATTATCTTTCATATATCACATGTAGTTTATTTAGTAAACACTATAATAACAACAATCACAATTATGAAGTCTTCAAACTCATTTGAACTCCTAGAGGAGCTAACATTTGTTGTTTGTGAATTTACTTCATATTATTTTTTAAAACGATTTACCGAGAAGCAAGTGAAAAAAAGCCTAGAATTTGT